CCAATGTGTTTTCTTCCTACAAACAACCATTTCCAAATGAGCTGGAGAACTGGAAACAGTTGGAGGAGTGATCCTTCTACTCTATAATCCTTTCTTGACTACTTTAATGAACAATGATGCAATAATTAGTTTTACAGGTATTTTTAACCGTTCCAAACAGAACAGACATAAGGGAGAATTAAGGAATCAGAAGTCATAAAAATCTACAACTTTTCTTTCCTTTCTCTCTCAGACTTTCTTTGCGGGCATGGGAGATTTCAAAACCACTGATGTCATTTATATCCAATGCTTTAAAAAATGTACTAAAGTTGAAATCTCACCACAGAGAATTAAAAATTAGTTTCTTCAGGTTTACAGTCGAATCACAATTTCACTCTGGGGAATTACTTCCTAAATAAGAGGCAGAAGCACTTTTCCTCCACTGAATTTGGTAATCTGAAGTCTGGAAGAGAAGTAAGAGAGAGAGGACCAGGCAGCTCTCTGAAGCATAAGCCTGACTGTACCCATTCCCCTACAAGGTGACAAGACTCAGAAAAGTGCAAAGGATGAGATAAAAAAAAGGTGATCTGTTTCTAGTATGACACATGGAAGTCAGAAATCATATGGCACTTTTCAAAAGAAACAAAAGTTGCTGTAAAGGGAAAATAGTCAGGTACTAACACTACCTGAACCTGCACTTTTTAAACTACCAGTTTATGAGGAATTAAGCATTAGCAGGTGCACTACGGGGTGGAGGACAAGGCATACTAGTAAGACCAATTTCTATCTCATATAGGCTAGTCTTAAAATTTTCATTTAATATTTTTTATTGGTTTGGGTTTTTTTTTGTCAAAAAAAAAATGTCAAAGTAGAACTGGGGTGATCACATGACAGAATGTAATAAATGTTTTCCATCTCTACTTTTTCCTCACTGTTCTCAAGTGAAAAAAGAAAAAAACAATACGGTAGTACTATCAGGCCTGGTCACATCTACTCCAGAACCCCAGAGCCAGTGTGACTGGTTTCTGCCCACTTCCACACACGGTCTATTGCACTGAGCAAGAATTGCATGTTCAGATGTGTAGTACACTATGTGTTTAAGTCTTCGTGTTCTGCTTACAATACTTTTTATTGTTTCCCATGTCCTAGCTACACTCCATAAAGATCTGCTTGAGCTTTGTTCAGGCACAGCTTTCAACTGGCTATGAGATGAACCAAGATGAGAGTCTCCACAAAATCAACCTGAAAACTTTTCCTGAAACAATGTTCTGGGACTCTTCATGTCCTTGGGCAGGATTTCTGTGTGCAAGTGGGAGATAACGCAGAATGAAGATATCTCTTTAAAAGTTTTACTAATTTTCATTAGGCTTCTTCATATGAGTTCTCTGGGCCTCTCAGCGGAGGATTTTAATCATATTGTGCCTTCTGCGCTACAGTGATCTCAATGCTAATCTCTGTAATTCCACATTTGGGAGCCCACTTTTCAAAGTGTAAACAACTGACACAGACTTTATAAAGAACATTTTTCCAGAGGGAATGAAATGGTAGAGTCATAGAGAAGCATCATAAGCCAAAAACTGAAAAAAAAAAAATCTAATTGCACTAGGAGAAACACACCATTCTCAGGTTCCTTCCCTTGTTTCTGTAGAATGTGCATGAATAAAATATATGTAAATAATATTTTGTGAGGGAGAAACCTTTGCCCCTTTCCACTTACAGGTATCAGGCACATCAACTCTAAAGGAAAACTTGAAGAAGAAACTGAATTTCTGCATCTGCAGGAACAGAAGAACAGATTTCATAAAAACAGGAAACAAGATGAGCATGAGTAAAAATACGGACTCAGAGGGAAGAAAAGTCTAATAAAATATTTGTGTTTCTCTATTTTTTAAAAATCATGTACTGCCAAGCAGCTTCTGGAACCATAGGTTTTTCTTCAGGTCTCCATTTTGAGCATTATTTTGCTTAGCATCTCTGAAACACTCTTACTACTCAGAGCTAGTATTTCCCTCCTCCAAGCAAATCGCACAAGGACAGCAGCAAAGACCATCTGCAGAATCAAACTCAACTGTCCAGATAAAACCATTCTGGAAAAAAAACACCCATAGCTCTAAGGAATATAACTTGAGCAATTCTGCAGGGTCTTCAAGCTTGATCAATGGCAAGAGCTCCGAGAGAACAGTACAGTCATGTTGTAATACTGTTTAATGGCATTTGCTCTTAACATTATTCATACACAGATGCTATTGACTTGTAATTCCTTGAAAAGATGATCTTTCATAAAACCTCTATTACTGAAATCCTTGTGCCTTTTACCGTTACACAGATTGCAGATGAATTCATAGGATCTATTAAAGCCTTGAGTGACAGAATGGTACAGCACCTGGCTAAATTTAGAGAAGAAAAAGAGAAAAGCAGACCTATAATTACTGTCCCTGCAAAGAGAAAAATGCAGGCACTGTGCCAATTCTTGCATTAACTATCCCAAATCTATTAAGATATTTCTTCCACCTCAATTAATTTACATCGCAGTATTAAGAACGGCATAATTTCTGCGCTCGTGTTCTCAGGATGCAATACCATTAACACTACAGTGCTCTAACATAAAGTCTTCTGTGTATCTTGCAAAAATATGAAATGCATATTTTAGAAAATTTAACAAGCAGCTGAAGCTGGGATAATGCACTTATGTCTGCAATACTCACACATTTCTTCTAATATATTACACAGAGGGTCATAGAAGGACTTTAATCTATGAGTCCAGAATATTGCAAGATAATGAATTTTTTTCCCACACCAGAAAGTAATAGCATTGCAATGGATGTAATAACCTTTCATAACTTTTTGTATTACCCTACCTACTCTTTGTAATTTTATGTACAAACTACTGCACTTTTATTTGCATATTGCTCATGTCTTCCTCCACTTTGAAACATGACATGCTTTAGCATTTCATAATCTACCCTGTTTATTACAGAATAGTTAAGAGGACCTCAGACTGTATTTCAGTGACTGTGTCATAATACTGTCTGGAAACTTCTATATATGTCACAGGAAATTTATGAAATGCAAACTTTCGGGATTATGGTACTAGAGGTATATACATCACAGAAAGCTGAGGACTGATGAGTTTTCTGATTGACATTATTTTTACTGAAATATAACTTATCAAGGAAATCTTTTACAAATGCCAGGGAAGCACTAGATGTTTTGTGTAAAAATTTAGGGTTTAGCTGGTGAAAACTTCACAAATGCTCGGGCAGCTGTTACGAACCTGAGTCATAGCAACTTTAGAGAGAAGAAACGATCTCATCCTCGTTGGAGTTCCTTTGCACTTCACAAGCATTAGTTCCTTAAGACCTGCCCTCTAACAGGTTATGCAAGAGTGGGTTCGGTTCTTTTTCACTTTCACCATTTACAAAATTTCTCAGGGCTCTCTAACCTCTGCATCCTAGGGGCTTCCTGATCACTCCTGAAAGCACATGGGGGACAGAGGAGAGAGGACTGTGGAAAATTCTATTCCTTCTCCCATTTTTTCCTTTGGACAGTCAATTAATCAATCAACCTAGTGTCTTCCACCCAGTCTACTCAGTCTTCATGACCAAATACAAAATGGCTATAGATTGCACATACCTTTTTTATGGTACTTTGTTCCCTCAGCATTTTTGTCACAACCTCTTGAGACCCATCAGGCAGATCAGTGAGATCTACTACTATTTTTAATATCACTGAAATCAGGTATTCTCCATTCAAGTATTTGGTAGCAAGTACTCTCCATTCAGGTATCTGTATGTTGTGGGTGATGTCTGTTACCAGAAATGACAGTGAGGGCTGAAGAAGAGACAAAAGTTTAAGTTGTATCTTCTGCATATCAGTAGTAGCCTATGTTCCAAGATCCCGCTCCTTTCTTTAAGATGATGGTAAAGGATACTGCTGCCCAGATGTCAGATATGGTCTGAAACTTCACTTTTATGGTTTACAATCAAGAGAATCTTTTTCTGTATTATTGTTGCATAGCATTAAGAGGACTACTAATTTGTGATTCATCAAAGGGATTTTACTGGCCCACTCAGCACTCAATCAGAAACATATTTCCCATTTGGGCTTCAAGTGGTCTGACAGTCTTGACAAATAGTGTAAAAGGCAGGACATTAATTCCTTATGACTAATGAAAAGTAAACTACATCCACTTTAATTCTGTATGAGAGCCTTGATTCAGCAATTTACTGCTTTTTTTTTTTTTTTTTTCCATTTAACTACTAGAGTTAATTCATCTGAACATTTTAGGAAATTGATTTTTAGAGAACATAAATATATATATATATACACACACACTCATTCCTTTCTCGTTATTCATCGTTAAACTATTTTGTTACTGTCCCAAGAGTATTCAAACTTCAGAACACCACACCCCCTGGCAGAATCTTTTGGAATATTCATTTTGGAATATCTGCGGTACCCCTTAAACCAGTCAGAGGAGTGTCAGGAGTAGCAGTCAGAGTAGTAGTGGTGATAGTATTTAACAAAACTTTTAAATGTTGCCTAGAATTGCAAGAAGCTGATTCCTGGGATAACTCTGCAAATTGCAGTAGAACTGTGTTACTGTAGAGTTAGGTCTCCATGTATTAAGAAGCAGAAATTATTAAAATGTGATGATCAAAAGGATGAAGAAATGTTTTCACGGATATATTATTTACAGACAGGAAAACCTGTGTGTTGGCTTCATTACAAATGCAACCTTCACCTAGATATGCTGGTTTACCTAGAATATAATATTTTCAAGCTACAAAGTCAGTATCTATATGGACATTATCTGGTTGTTCTAACCCTTCTGAGCTCTGGAATATGAAAAAACTTAGTGAAGACCTCCTGCCGCTTCCTTCAGGCTTTCTGTGGCCTTTTCCACTTGGTTTTGCTTTGCTGTTTTGCTCTCCATCATCAGTGCTTCTGAACTTGACAGAAGAGAAATGCAACGTATGTCTCAGAGCAGTTTGCACTACCAGGAGCATACGGCAGCTTACCTGTTTAACTGCGTAAAGCAGGCGGCCGTAGCAGTACATCATGACCATCACAGGGATGACCAAGCAGAATATGAAGAGACAGATGATATAGGACGTGGACTCGGCTGACTCCGAGGACCAGCGTACTGAACAGCTTGTACCCGCACCTTCTACGCCGTAACTGCTCCAACCGATCAGAGGAGGCACAGTCCAAACCAGGGAATAAATCCATGAACCGCCGACTGCCAGCAGTGCCTTCCTGCAGTCAGCGCTGCGCTTGCTGCACACGGTGAGAGTGCTGTAGCGTTCATAGGACAGGACAGCCAGGGAGATCAGGGACACAATGCCTGCAACGAGCCAAGCAATTTAAATGCTTACTTTCATTATTTTGTGCAGTACCCATTTTAAACCCCAAGAAACAAGATGCTTTTATCACTACTACAAATTTGAAGCAACAGTGAAAACTATCTCCATTATTCTCTAAGCTTAAATCCCCACTGGACCTGGTTGCTCTGTCCATCATGTCAAATTTTGTTTCACTCGTATTTATCTTATATTGGAAGATTTTCATACTTGAGAGCTGTTCCTCTTCTAGGCAGGTTTTCAGATTTATATGTTTTAGTATTATCCAGGGGAAATCCATTTTCTACATGAACTAATAAAATGTTGAGAGATTCCCTTGATAAGAAATATTCAGTTTTTAACATCCATGAGCATTTCCAAATATTGCATTGACTTTTACATATGCAGAAGGCTTTATGTTCAAGATTGGGAGCCCTAAAACAAAAGAAGTTTTTGCACTTCTGCCCCATCAGCTAGATAAAGCTTCAGTTTTGACCTCTTGTATATGAAAATAACAGACAACTCTTTGCATGAGTGTGATTATGTCACATAATGAGCTCTAGGTGTCGGAGACCAGTTATATCCTGCAGTGGAAGATTCAAAAATCTAGGTTGTAGGACATTTTGCATGGCAAGTTCTTGGTCATGACTGAGTGGGGGGTTTTTTAGCTATTTCCTATGTTTTTGTTCTCCTTGATGTTTCCTTACAGTTCTTGGTGACACCACACTGGATACCACTTCCCAGGATTTAAGACAGAACTTGTTGGGAGAAATTTAACACCACCTTTTCCCATGGGTTACAGGCCCCTCCTATTGGTCCTGTAAAATGAAAAACCTGCACAAGCCTATGTCAGTCCAGCTCTTCCCAGGTTTTTTTTTTTGCTTGATCCTTGCCATTATAACAGCCAACTACACAGTAGCATTGAGATCTAGCCTGCCAAAATTCCCTGGATTTGAGTTGTACTTACTTCCAGCAAATCTGTTAACAAAAAAGATGATCTTGAGGGGAATCCACATCTGAAATCCCTTTTATGTTTTTCCCCATTTAATTGTCAGTTTCTCCTACAGGTCCTTCACAGGTGTGGGATGGAGGGGAGTCAGAGACTCCCCTGGGGATAGAACTACTCTGTCCCGTACCTGGGCAAAACACTCCCCCCACATACCCACCCACACAGGGCACAGCAGGATACTCTCCCCAGGCACAGCATTTTGCTTCTCCTTCCCCCACAATTCAGTCACTCATTTTCTGGTTAGCTGGATGCAGGCGCAGCTATTCCTGCCATCCTGACAACAATTTGCAGTTAATCTGTGCAGAGCTGGGTATGGCAAAGGACCCAGGGGGGATGCGAGCACTGCTTGCTGCAATCAGATGCCTTATTTCTCAGGGGAAGAAAAGGCAAAAGGGTGTGAAGAAAAGGCAACTTTTGATGAAGAAAACATCTTTCTTGTTAGAAGAGCCTACTGAATTATTATCCATATATTATTGGGAAGTCAGACCTAAAAAGTAGACACACTTAGAGCTGTAAAATGACACAACTCCACTAAATTCAGCTGAATTATGCAGTTTAAGAGTCTAACTTTAAACCTACTGTAAGGCTAGACTGTTTTAGATGCAGTGAAGACATTATGATCATCTCTCATCCAACCTGATTTCCTACATAACACAGCTCTTGAAAGCCCTTGGCCATAATTCCTGAATTAAACATGTATCTCAATATAATAAAAAAAAAAAATAATGGGTTCTGAATTACAGACTCAAGAACAAAGAATCTATCACTCATCTCACTTCCAGCCCACACTTATTTATCTTCACTTTCTTAGCATTGCCTCTTTCCATGCTTTTATCTGCTTGACTAAAGAGCTTCTTGCTATCAAAAACATTTAGCTCATGTAGGTACCTAAGGCAAAGCCCCCAATTTTATATTTGAAACTTAGGCCTCAGTAAGGTGATACAGATCTATCCGTGCATTTCAGATTAGACCGTCATGGACTAACAGAAAACAGTCTCGAGAACAAGAAATCTCTCCCCTCCCAGCTGAGTGCACTACAGCAAGGTTGTATTACTCTCGCTTTACCTCAGACGGCAAGTCAGGGCACAGCGTCCCTAATTGTGATGAGGTGGCAGGTGAGACAGACTTTTGCTGAGAATATCCTACAGTCCTGTGGGTGTAGTGTTTCCCAGAAAACCCAAACAGGGTATTCAAACTTCCCTAGCTCAGGGCCCTGCTTCCTGGCCAGCTGCTTTAGCCATTGGGCTAGCAATTGTCCAGTCTGGCTGCCAGCTCTGCCTGCTCGTCCCTCTGCCTGTGCTGCTGCCCGGCAGCTTCTCAGGGTTTATATTGTCATGATTTACAGCACTTGTTTACATTTCCTCACATTTTTGCCTACTGTCTAATACGAGAAAGGTGCTCAGCTTTTCTCCCACTGGTATTTATGATGGACAGCTTTATGGAGTGGATCTGAAGATAACTGGCCATGAATGCAGTATTGCTTGCTTCGAGCCAAAGAAGCAGCCTGTCTTTAACTGGCATAGAATTAATGCTTAGTTATTAAATTAGGACGATGGCAATGTCAGTAAAAAATAAATCAAATATTAGCAGTCAGAAAAAAACACAAAAGTTTCCTTTAAATTATAGCAAATCATTTTTCTTCTCTACACAGAAGAAGATTGGAGACTTAATTGCACACCTTGGCAAGAGCCATTTTATCTTTACTCACCATTTATTATTGAGTTCCACTGACATGATACAAACTACATTTTTCTCTGGAGGACAAGAACTGTGATATAGAGAATCCCAAACCACAAAAAAAAAAAAAAAAAAAAATCAATATTTATCTTTTCCTTTTGTCCTATAAGACTTTAAGGTCTGTGCTATACCTGAACTATTTAATATCACTGAAATTAACACCACTGTGCATTGACTTCAAATGCTTTCAAAATAACAAGGGAAAAAGAGGAAAGCACTGAAGGAGTAGTTCATAAGGGATATTAAAAATTAAAATAATGCAATGTGGCTCATGTGGTTAAAATATACCAAACCAGACTATTTAGAAAAATTACAAATACCTTGAAAGAATTAAACTGGCGCTTTGAAAGACAGAAAATTATGAAATTAAGAGCCATTAAAAAAAAAAAAACCAAACAACTTTTTTTCCAACAGTGGGATACATTTAATTGAATTGGCTGCAAGTAATGAAAACACCTATTACCCAGGTGAGGAAGAAGCAAAAACAGGAGGCCATGGCAACTCTCTCTCAGTATACTCAGTGTGACCTTGTGCACTGTACACAGTCACAAGATGTGCCCAGGCCCTCTACGCCCCCAACACTGCAGCTCCATCCAACCCTGCTTATGAACGGGCCTTCGCCTTAACACAGAACCCAAGACAGGACAAAACCAATACAGGACGTACATGAAGAAATAACTCTATTCCAATATTGTGGTAGATTATCAGCTCCGGTGTCTCTGTTTGTTAAGAATATCCTCAGCTTTTTAATTTTAAAAAGTAATCTTTTTTTTTTGTTCTTACTCCTTTATCAGATCAATAGCTGAATCCTGCAAAGATACCACTACCATTTGCTCAATTATAGCAGATATGCAGCCCTAATTTGTTGGACTGAAGTAACATCATTTCACAACAAAGGCAAAACCAGGTTTTGCATCAGTATTTAGTTTGACACTAGGTGGAAGTAAAAAAGGGGGATCAGGTGCATTAGAGTTAGCGATTGAGCTTCCAGTGAAAAACTGATGATTGTCTTGCCCTTTACGTGCCTTTCAATAGCATCCAGTATGATTTTCTTCATAATTTTTCCAGGTACAGAGGTTAGACTAACAGGCCCGTAGTTTCCTCAGTCTTGCCTCATGCCTTTCTTGTAATCTGGTTTGGATAAAGTACAATAAAGTTTCTCACTTTTCATTATGCCTCCTGTTTTTGTATATCAGAGTTTTCTTAATGTCATATGCACTTAACTATCATGGCCTGTTATCTGGTATGCTATTTCACGCACTATCTATTGCAGTCATAAGAACTAGTGAGAATCTCAACTTTAAAACAAAAAGCAGTTAAGTATTTTTTAATTATGGCTGAGGAAAAGACTTGAATGCAATCTCCATAGTCTTAATAACTAGAAAACAAATTTAAAAAAATAATGTAAGTTATAAAAAGAAGAAAACAATTATAATTTTAAAGCTAATCACAATGCTTTATGCCAACATTTCATTCTTATTTCACAGTAACATTTATGACTGAGTAGACTGAGGATATTAATTTCAAATGAGTAATGTTTTCTAAAATTGCAACAGAATTAAGTTCAGCACTTGCACATCTAAATAGAATCTGCCTCCAACAAATATCCGGGGCCTCAAGCTGGTACCCAGCCAAATAACTCCACAGGAGTCAATCACAGTGAGAAATGTAATTTGTTCCCCCAACATTTCATGCATATACAGGAACAAAGCTGAGGTTCTCACTTAACAGTACTGAAAGATGACATAAAATTCCACTGCAGATTGCATTACAGGAACAAATAATTATTCAAAAATTAACCATGGAAATAAGTGACTTTGAGACAAGCTGGGTCTGAGGCATGAGCCTCACAGCAGTTAGTTGCAGTGAGTGCAAGAAATTCAATTTCAAGTCATAAACCAGGATGGGCATCCATTTATAGGACCACATTTTGCAACATTATCTATTATTACTTTTATTTAAAGATCTGTGCATTTATTCCTGGCAGCAGAGCACAGAGTATGGCTCTAAGCGAAGGACACAGCACATTACTGTTTTGTTCCTGCAAGTCTCAACTAAGAGTGCTACATTTTCGTATTAGTTTTTGCTGGTTTACACTGCTCACTGATGTAGTAATTGGAAACGGGATGCAGATTGCTGATGGTCTGTAGGTTATGAAAAACTGAGAATCCCAGAGATTCAGCCTACACTGGGTAAATGTTTTGACTACTAACTTACGTATATTTTCCCTCTTAAAGCTCCTGAAGGTCATTATCCTAC